TTTTTTTTTTTTTTTTGAGACAGCGTCTCACTATGTAGTTGAGACTGGAACTCACTCTGTAGCCCAGGCTGGTCTTGAACTCACAGCACTCCTGCCTCAGCCTCCTAAGTGCTGGGATTCAGGCATGCACCACCACACCCTGCTCAGTGTGATGAATTTTTATCATGCATGCTACAACCTCAGCCTCTACTCAGAATTCTTTATGGCCACTGGAAAAGTTGATTGGGTTAACTGATAATAGCATATTAAAGACAATTTTGCTTAGATGGATTAAGGGAATACTTACAATGTTAAGTAGGACATATATGGTTTTACATCTCTGTTGAAGGAGGGCTAGGCAAGGGAAAGGTGATAACATGGGTTGTCTGTATTCCCAGAAGTATTTCTTCGCCCTGTCTAGATTGACTTAAGCTTCCCTAAAATTTCTACTATTTCTACCCTCTGGTGAATAATGATAATTATGATATTTAGAATTTGTATAACATTTAGTTTTGTCCTTTACTTGATTGTCATGTACTTTATTTTGGTCACTGAGTGTTTTAGTATCCATTGTGGATCTAATTCTGTGCTGGGAACTGTGGAACAAAAGAAGTAAAAGATACGTGCTCTAGGAACTTGTTAGGTAAAAGGATTTTATTGTCTTTTCTTCCCCTTTAATTTCTTTCATTGCTCAGTACTGTGACCTTTTAAAAATACTTTACATAAATGTTGAGCTGTGTGTTGGAGGTAAATATCCTTCTTGTGTCTTGCTGTATTATGTAGCTGTTCTAGGACCAGGACCGAGGAAGTCTCCGAAAAGAGGGTGTCTTACATGTTGGCCACATGATCGTGGTGCTATGGGATGATGATGATGCAATGTCTTAGTTAATTTTCTTCCTGCTGAGACAAAATACTAAACATCCGAAATTGAAGGAAAAGTTTTTTCAGCTTAATTTGTAGAGTTTTTGAACTATAATCAGCTGGCTCCAAGGTAGAATATCACAGAGGAGAAATAGTCTGAGGTGTGGCAGGCAAAAGGAAGCAAGCAGCAGCAGCAACAGCAGCCTGCCTTCTTTCTGTCCCTTTATATTCCATCCAGGCTACAAGCCTGTTGATTGGTTCCACTCATACCCAGGATTTACATTATCCACACCCTTAATCCCAGTGTGACTGCATTAATCCGTATTCACACACCATAAACTAGTCACCTTCAAAACTCCTCACCTACAAGTGCTTGCGGCTTTGGGGGGACATCTAGGTACAAGCCATTACATGCAGTGATTAGCAAAACAGGTACTACTTCTGACAAAAGAGACACTAACCAGACAGATAGTTAAATATGTTATGTAGAAAAAAATTTCTAGAGAGGATATAAGACCTGATTTTAACTGTGTGTGGGTATTTTTTTGTTTTGTTTTGTTTTGTTTTTTGTTTTTTGGGAACTGGGGATTGAACTTGGGACCTTGTGTGCTTATGAGACAGGCAGTGGAACCACTGAGCTAAATCCCTGGCTCTTAATTGGGTTTTTGAAAACAGATTACATTGATGCAGAGACCTGAAAGTTAAGTTGATAGAATGAAATAACAATCTAGGCCAAAGAAACAGTTTTATATAAGGTAGTGGTGTGAAAAAGAGTGGTATATCCAACAGAAAGGGGCCAATTTCATTAGTCATAGATGTAGGCAACAACATGATCAGTTTTTTAAAATCTCTGGTTGTTTGATGAGGAATGGATTGGCAGGGACAAGATTGGAAGCTGGGAGAACGAAGAAGCTATCATAGTGGTTTGGCTTAGAGGTAATAAAGATTGGTGGCAGAATGGACTGGATGGAGGAGGGAGAAAGAAGCTGAGTCCTAGGTTTTGTGCTTGAGCAACCTAATAGATGGTAGTACTGTTCCCCAATGTGGAGAGAATTGGAGAAGGAATGGATTTAGGTGGTGGTGAGAAAACTTTGAGTAGTCTGTAAAGAGTCATTGGAAATTTGGAAAGAGGAGGGCAAATTACATATATATATAGCGTATATATAAATATATATTATATACGTATGTTATACACACACACACACACACACATATGTATATGGTAGTTTAAAATCATGAGCAAAATTATTTAAGGAGAGTGAGTAGGTACAAGGGCTGGGATTGAACCAAAGAACAGCTAGAAAGGTGTTAGAGATTGAGCTGCCTGACTGGTGAGAAACAGCCTGCAGAGTAGTGTCGAGGAAGCTGAGAGGAAAGAGTTTGAAAGGCAGAAACTTCAAAGCTTTGCTGGGAATTTTTTTTTTTTAATTTACTTATTTCCATGCTGAGAACAGGCAGTTAAAAGGATTTGTTTACCAGGTGTTGTCAGGGTGGGAAGATCGCATCATTTGACAAGGGTCTTAAATAAAACACTAAATAGTTATGGTAGCTCCTCTAACACTGAGCAGCTTCTTTGAGTGGTGGTGATTCCTGATTAAGAAATTCCACACCTTTCCCAGCAGAATACAGCTCCAGTCCTTGAAGGTCACTTTAGAGAAACAAGAATGGGTCACACCTGTGGAGGTGTCTGGTGGTAGTTTCCAGGATTAAGTAAAGGTGGGATCCTAATAAATATTTGTGTGTGGCAAAGTTAAATTTGTCCCATTTCACAGTTTTGCCAGGGGCTGCATCTTGCTGAATCCATGCTAGGAGGCCACACAAAGTCTGGCTTACACAAAGTACATTCGTTAAGTACACTGCATTTAACTAAGATAAATTTGGGGATGTAAAACCTGGCAAACAGATTTGTACACTGGTAATCATAGGTGATGTCTTTCCTGTGTGCCTTTGTGTTCATAGTCACCATCACTATTCTGTGAGAGTAGAATTTGAAAGACCAAAATTGAGTTTCTTGTTTCTTATGTGTTGATCATCTTTGATTTCAATGATTTTTAATAGTATGTTTCATGTACACGATTGGGAAGTCTATAGTATTAATCAGTTTGTTTCAGTACTGAAATGAGATGCGTATGAATTACAGTTATTTGTGAAATTCTTATCAAACATCCGCCAGAGCACTGTTCTACTTGTGGAGCTGTCTGAGCCAACAAAACAAAGTCATAGGGCTTTCTAGTTGTAGGAAATAGAAAATAGGTCAGTTGTAGTGCTGTGAAGACAGAGGGTCAGGAAAAGATGACTGGACAGAGACAGGTGTGCTGTTGTAGAGTTGTTGAAGGCCTCCCTGATGTGGCACCAGACTTTAGAAGGGAGTGAAGAGGGCTCACCTCATGCTGTCAGGACAAATGCCTGACTGGAGGCTGAGAAACAGCAGACCCCGAGACTGAGATGGGAACTTGCTTGGTGTGAT